TTTTTTTAAGATTTTAAGTGATGTTTCAGATCTGTTATTATCATGTTCTTATGTTAAAAATACCAAGATTTGAGTATTGTTTCCATCTCTCTTGTATTTTCCTCATTTTGGTACAAACCATCTTCTTTTTGTACAAATCTCTCAACTTTTCAAGGGTACTCTTTCAAACAAATTTTCTGAGTTAAACATGGGATAGTTAGCATGTTTTCCTCACAAAAGAAATGAAACTTTTCCATGGTGGAACCCCCTTTTTATAAATTTTCTTGTTTTGGGCATTCCACCTTAAAACCTATTTTTTTCTGTCAACTTTCAAATATTCCAGAAAAATGTACAAAACTATTCTGAACCTCTATTTTATGTCAAAAACTTCCTTAAGGAGTTAGCTTATGTGACCTTAACTTAAGACAAAGACGATGGATGGAGTATCTTGAGGATTTCCAATTCACTCTCTCATACCACCCCGGTAAAGCCAATGTAGTAGCAGATGCTCTAAGTCGTAAGAGCAGAGGGATGATGGCTAAGATCTCCGTCAAGGAATGGGATATGGTTAAGACACTCAATGAGTTCAGGATCCAAGTAGAATCTCAAGATACAAGAGCATATCTTAGCGCACAGAAGGTGATGCCTAAGTTAATGAATGAGGTCATGGAGGCCAAAAAGCACGATCAAGAGGTAGCCTACATCAAGGGACGTCTAGAATCAGGAGAGCCCATGCCCGATTAGATAATTCACCCCAATGGGAGTTTAAGGTACCAAGGTAGATTGTTTGTACCTAGTGACGAGTTACTTAGAGAAAAGGAATTGAAGGAATGTCATCATTCTGCATTTGCGGTACATCCAGGAGAAACAAAAATGTACCAAGATTTGAAGAGGCAATATTGGTGGAATGGGATGAAGAAGGAAGTGGCCAAATTTGTAACAAGATGTCTGACATGCCAACAAGTGAAGGCGGAACATCAGAAACCGGGAGGAATGTTGCAACCTCTACCAATAGCTGAATGGAAGTGGGAGTATGTGACGATGGATTTTGTGACAGGGTTGCCTAAGTCACCTAGAGGGCGCGACGCTATATAGGTAATAGTGGACCGTCTTACCAAGTCAGCGCATTTCTTACCCTATAAGATAATCGACACCTTAGAGTCTATGTGCAGACTCTACATTGGGGAAATCATTAGACTACATGGAATTCCGGTATCTATTGTGTCAGATCGTGATCCACGATTTAACTCTCAATTTTGGGGAAGCCTGCAGGAAGCTCTTGGTACGGAGTTATGTTTTAGCACTGCCTTTCACCCGCAGACCGACGGACAATCTGAATGCACTATCCAGACGCTCGAGGATATGCTGAGAGCTTGCGCAATGGATTTTTAAGGAAGTTGGGAACGACACCTACCCCTAATTGAATTCGCCTACAACAACAGCTTCCAAGCTAGCATCGGTATGGCACCCTTTGAAGCATTATACGGACGACCTTGTAGATCGCCGATTTGTTGGACGGAAGTGGGTGACGCAAATCTGGTAGGACCCGAACTTGTCCTAGAAACTACTGAGAAGGTCAAATTGATCCGACAACGGTTGAAGACTGCTCAAGACCGTCAGAAGAATTATACAGACAGGAGGAGGAGACCGTTAATGTTTGAAGTAGGCAGCCACGTGTTCCTAAAGGTGCAACCCAAGCGTGGAGTCGTACGTTTTGGGAGAAAGGGGAAGCTGTCACCACGATATATTGGACCTTTCGAGGTATTGGAGAGAGTGGGTGAAGTAGCATATAGACTAGCTCTACCCCTGCAGTTAGCAGGGATACACAGCATCTTCCACGTATCTATGTTGAGAAAATACATCGCTGACCCGTCACACGTCCTCAAATGGGGCAGGGATACACAGCATCTTCCATGTATCTATGTTGAGAAAATACATCGCCGACCTGACACACGTCCTCAAATGGGAAGAGATCAGTCTTGACAAAGATGTTATGTTTAAAGAAGGACCGGTAGCAATACAAGATCATCGAGAGAAGAACCTTAGAGGCAAGACGGTTCAATTGGTGAAAGTGCTATGGCGTCATCGGGGAATTGAGGAATCTACTTGGGAACGATAGGACTGAGTGAAGGCAAACTACCCCGAGCTTTTTGAAGGCAGTATATAGTTGAATTTCGGGGACGAAATTGCTTTAAGGGGGATAGGTTGTGAAGCCCCCGAAATAAGTATTTACTTTTAAGACCCTAATGTTTGAATTATTTTCTTAAAGCCCCTCGGTTACTTGAATTAATTCGAATCTTGATGGTTAGCATTACTATTTTTATTTTTATCAAAACAGGAATTTCCCTAACCGGATTAGGTTCCATAACCTAATTTAATTCTACCTAATTTACATGTATTTAACTCCAAGCCCTCACTCTTTATTTAAATTCAAAACTTGCCCCAAAAACTAGTACTTGTACCTTGTACCTTGAAGTACCATCAACTTTATATATATATATATATATATATGTATATGTACACACATATATATATGTATACACCTTGAGGGATGTGCCCTTGTACCTAAAATTAATAAAAAATAACCCCATCATCCTAGGGAGAAGAGAGGAGCCAATTTTCAATATATATCATCATGATATTCTAGGAAACCCAAACCTAGTACCCTAGACCTAGGTTGTTAATTCCAAAACTAGTTCCTTTCTAACTAGTGTTGCCTAAATCATTGACCAAGCCTCCCAAATCCCTTCCATTTCCTTAGAATCCAAACAAATCCTAACCTTTCCATCCATTTCCAACTAATGGGCTTTTAGGACATTTTACATCAAAAATTATCTATAAATATCAACCTCCCCTAGCTTGGCAAAGCACAAACACCACACCCACATACACACATTAGGTTAGGGAGAGGGAGGAGAGCAAGAGAGAAAGAAGTCTAGAGAAGAGGAGGAAGGGAGAAGAGAGCATTCTTGTGCAAAATTAGCAAGTAAGCCACAAACACAACTTCTCTTTTATTTTCCTTCCTTCAATACATGTCTCTAAATAATGTGTTTCAGATCTGTCATTAAAGAGTTCTTATGTTAAAAATACTAAGATTTGAGTATTGATTCCATCTCTCTTGTATTTTCCCCTTTTTGGCACAAAACCATCCTCTTTTATTACCAATCTCTCAACTTTCCAAGGCACACTTTCAAGCAAAATTTTTGAGTAAATATATGTTAGTTAGAATGTTTTCTTCACAAAATAAATGAAAACTTTCCCTTGGTGGAACCCTTTTCTCACAAATCTTCATGTTTTGGACAGTCTACCTTAGAATCTGTTTTCGCAGCCCACTTTCAAAAATTCCAAAAAAATGTATAAAAATATTCTGGACCTCTATTTTATGTCAAAACCTTCCTTAAGGAGTTATCTTTTAACTAAAATTGTTTTCATCCAAAAACATTAAGCAGTTTGCAATAAAATCAAGTTTTCGTAACGATCGACGGATCTGCACAAATTCTGGACAGCACTGGACTATTTTTTAAATAACTTAAAATCTGGAAAAGTAATCCCATTTCTGAAAAATGTTCTAGAAACTAGATCAAATTCTCTACGAACCATAGGAAGATCAAGTCCGGTGGAAGATCTAAAATAGTCCTTTCATTTTAATCTTTATGTGATGCTAAATCTGGAAAATTTGTTATGTATGGATGT